CGTGACTTTGATAAATCAAGAGAAAAATAAAATTAAGTTGCCACATTTTCTGCGCTTTAATCTCATTTTCCTAATTTATTAATAGCCCGGAATTTCATTTTTCTTCTCTTTCAGGACGTGAAAATTTAAAAGTAATAATAATTTATATTGAACATTTTGTCAAAACGATGATAAATTTTATCTTTCAAATAAACGTTATTATATTTAATAATATTATTTAATCGACCATTAAAAACCATTAAATTTTCATTAAAAGAAGAATTAAATAATCTGCTTGTAACTGAATGTGAGTTAAATTTCGATACGTACGTTTAGCAATTAAATTGTGCTATATTATCGTTATATTACAATCCAATGTCTTATTCATCTCGATTGAGATTATGATATTAAATATGCGGAATTAGTTATATCTTCGGTGCTAATAATAATATATAAAATAAAGCAAAATGATAATCAGTATCAGAAATGATTTCAGATGTAATCTTAGCTCATACGTTGTACATTTTATATATTAAATTATATATTAAATGATCAAATTTTAAATCAATTCCTTAAATTAAATAACATTTTATTCTTTTAAATATATCAAGATGTATTTCTTTAATACATAACACGTGATTAAAAAGCATCCACATTTCTGTGATTAAATTACTTAGTTCCGAAGTAAATAGCATTCATATTAACATATGCACTTACAATTAGTAAATAATAAATTTTAATCAAATTTAATACATTTTTTTGAGTTAAATTGTTTAACTCTATTTTTAGTTAAATTAACATAAATAAGAGCAGCCGTATAGAATATAGAAATTATTAGAAATAACTCAAATTATAACTTAGCATTATGAATTTATTAGTACATCCTATGAATACTGAATGTTCATGTTATTTCTTGCACAAATGTTGCACTAGTTCAATTACTATATACAGCAGTCAACATCAAATCTGATCGAATGCTGGTGGTGTTCGGTACAATCAAGAAAAGGAATAAACGGCTTACAAACAAGAATATAAATATCCGAACATTCGCATTCGCTGTTCATTCGCCAAGTGAATACCTGAATACTCAGCTTGAGATACACACAGGACTAGACTATACAGAACACAAACGTAGAATATTCAATGTACTATTCGAATTTCGGATGTAACTATTTCGTAGCGTGTATTGTGGCACGCAGTGCCTCGGTGCTCGACTCATTGTTTACATTGCGCGCTGCTGTTGTGTATGCGCGCGGTCGCTTCGTTCCTATTCGTGCGGCGAGGCTCGAGTTGGCAGGCAGCAGCGCGTGTTGCTCCGTCGTCTTATTATCCACATCTAAATACGATTATTCCCTATGTTAACTACAATCAGCATTATTAACTTGAACGATGTATTATTCTCCCGATTAATGACTTATTTCGAAGCATCGTAGAAGCAAACAATGGATTTATTCAACCAGGTATATCGCTTGAGTTTATTTGAGACTGAAGTAGAAAATTGAGACAAAGAATGAGCGAATTGTGTCCATTTTAAATGTATGTTGATAATTATACATATTATGATATTAACAATATTTGTTTTTTAATTGAACATATTTTCAGTTTGTTCGCTTTGAATTTGTCACTGACAATGAAATATAACTTGCTTGTCTGTCTCTAAGTGAGAGTGAATAATAGTATACGAATAAAGTGATTTCAGTAGCTGAAAACCGTGATATATCAATAATTTAATAGATAATAAATAATCCCCATTTCAAATGCGAGCAGTTGAGTATGTTCCGTTTCACGCACGATGCGCACGATATATTATTTTATTATCTTTGTTGTTCATCAAATGTTAAAAAGAAGACTAAAATGATACATCATGTGCGTCTTGCGTGAAATAGAACGCATCCTAACATTTTCGGCATATATATTTTCTAAATCGTGATAACGTCACACACAACGGTTGGCATTCAACATACGACGTAGTAACAAGGTTTGTTTACGCAAGTACTCTAGTCGGCAGCAGATGCGCGTGAGCTGTTTTGTATTATTAAATTATTTCTAAAATAATGATTCGTTTTCTCTATTAACATTTAACGAAGTAAATCACTTATTAATTGTGTGTGTTATACCTACATACATTTAAAGAAATAGTGTCCATGTGATATTGAAACTCAATTGATTACTTTCGTTTATCATTTTCGAATTTTTTCATTAATTAAAGCTTTATTAGTTGCATTTATAAAGTTGTCGATGTTATTTTTGAATTCTTGAGTTAATAACGATCGCGAATTAAGTCTGAATCGTGCTTAATTAACAAGTAAAATCATAATTGTCAATTTAATTAGTAATCATCGATAATTACAATCGCATTAGTATTTGTAACTGCATAATATAATATTTGTCCATTGGTACACTAAAATACACGAGAATCGTTTCATCAAAGTATTAATATTATATTGCGTGATCAATTGACGAAGACTTTCAAAGGTTGCATTCTGTTGTAGATTTATCTTTAATTTTTTAGCTTGTCCATTAATATAATTATTACAGTGTAATTATACATTATAATATGAGATTATGTTTGCTCTATATTGTTCGCACATATTATTTATTATTTGCAGTACGAAAAGTGCAGTTAGCAATTAGTACAGCGATATGATTATAGATCTATCATCTTAGAATGGATAGATTAGAATAAATAGACTAGAATATAATATATTGAGATACTTCGATCGAAATATACTCGTGAAATATATTAGTGATTTAGAGTGTAGCTAAATGAAGCAAATATGTAATAAGCAAGTTGATGAATATAATATACATCACAAAAAAAAAACTCCGTAAAAATAATTTTGATAAAATTGTTTCCAAATCTATTACACACAAATATTTAATTTCTTATATATTTTTACTGAGCATTCTATAATAAAATTTTATAACAGCATTTTTAAGAACAGATAGACCGGAATTAATATCATATATTGTATATTTAGATTATTTTGTTTAATGAAAAGTATTAATAATTTTTAAGTGCCATTCTTGCATTTTTAACCAATGCATTTTTAATCAATTTTTTGTAACCTATTTATACTTATTTAAAATTTGACTTTTGTTACGTCGTTAAAAGTAACAACTAGTGATAATAGTGTTTTATTTCCTTTGTTATATCAAACGCTGTTTGTTCAAGTTGCATTAATTAACCAACCACAATTAATATTGACTAAGCCATTATTTATATTAGATTGTCTTATAAGATTAAATATCGATTCTATTTCGAAAACAATAATTCCAAAATTTCCAGTAACATAAAAATATTACATGACCTTTGAAATATAGAGTATAAAAAATTTGATAAATTATATCTAGCGTGTTATTACGTTTTAAATTTGCAGTATTAAACAGTTTATATATATTTACATTCAATATTTAATAGGTCGTATTTAAATTTGATCTATTCTCTAAATTTGATTTTATAAGAAACATATTAATTTAATATTTAACAGCAAAAGTCTTCATGTTATGTTGATGCAAAATGCATATAAAGAAATATATATAGGAACACCGACATATGAATTATGTAATAGAAATAAGGCGATAGACATGACAAAAATGATCGATTCTCAGTCGAAGTTTGCGTAAATACAATACAATTTATGTGTTGTAAAGTCTATATTTCTATATTGATGAAGGGAGGGTACGGAAATCTATCTCGCGATCGGGATTGGTGAGATCGAAAGGTGACTACCGGGTGTCGGCCGTTATCATAAACGAGCTGCCAATCGACTGTAGTTTGCCATGCCGTACGGTATTATATATCGGGAAGTAGCAGCCGGTCTGCTCTTATAACTCTCGCGCAATTGGAGGGCCGTAATTCGAAGCGAATAATTGACCGAATGGCGCGGCCGGTGGCGGCGTTTCAGAGGTTTACGGCCAGTGGCACGACCTCAATTTCGCTCCGGCAATCTCTGCCATCCTGCCTGCCTGCCTGCTTGCCGCCGAAAAGCCATGACCATGCGAGAGAACTCTCCTGGCACTCTCCGCATCATCCTGGCTCAAATCCAAACCATCGATCGCTGACCGCGAATGGTCAGGCGATCAACGAACGTGTAGTACATCGTTAATATAAGAGGTTCGATGAATGAATAGATGAGTAGTGGCAGTTCGTAGAAAATTAGCCGCGTTAACATCTCCGCACTGATCTCCCTTCTTGTAGTTTTTAGGGTGCGAATGGCTTTGACAAGAGAAGCGAGGGATCGTTGATATATAAAGCTGGACGTGAACGGTCGTGTGAGATATGATTCACAGAAAATCAGGAAATAGTTCCATCGACGTCTTTATATTGATCTGTGTTCAAGAGCAGCTCTCGCATTATGAAACTTTGAATTTTAATCCTCCGTTTGCAATAAAATTCGGTAAATTTATAAAAGAGTAATAGTAGGATAATTATTTTATTGTTGGATAATTTCATCTTAATTATAATTTTTATGTAAAACCGATACGAAAGTAAATATTGTTTTTTAAATAACCAAGATACGTTTAATTAGTTTTTTATCTTGTCGTAAATGAATTTTTTGGGTTACTAATTTAATCGAAAGCGGTTCGTAGCTTCGATTTCATATCAGCGTATATTGCACTGTTTAATCCGCGCGTTGGCATTCAAGTTAATCTAATCAGGATAAATCGAACCCGTCCATTTCCATTCGGACATACGCGTACGTTTAATATCCGGTTATTCGTCGGGGTTCGGGCTCGCACTCCCCGAAGCCGGGGCTTCGAAATTAAAAATCCGTTCGTATGGTGCGACGGCTTCGAAAAGCTTCATCCGGGCGTGATGTACCTACCTATGCTGAGAATCTACTGTGCATTCTCGTCGACTCGGGGGAGGCGGAGGAAGCTGAAACGCTATTAGTTGCACCCGGGGATTCCCCGTTACGCTTCGCCGGTTCCACCTGCCTTAGTGCAGGCGTAAAAAAATATGGAGAGTACGACCTGAAAAAAAAATTAGGGTGCGCGTCCTTCGCTTCTTCCCATACCCCATGCTCGTGCTCTCCGGGTGTTTGTGCAACGGGTGGCATTGTGTCCCGACGAAACGTCGGACAGATAATCACTCTGGATTGGAATCACAGACTGTATTTTCAAGACGCTATTGAATGGGACACTTTTTCACGTCGTATGACACCGTTTGTTTGCATCGTGTTCACGTATAAGCAGGGTCTGCTCTAGGTCTTCTTCTAGCAAATTTATTGTCGGTTTTCATCTTTGATCACAAAATGAATTGTGAACCAGTGTCGTTTATGCTGTCATTTCGAAACCGTGTTATAAAACTTAATAATTGCTTATTGTTAGGATTCAATAATTAAGTAATATTGAAAGATTGTTTTTGCTTTATATCTTTTCACTTATCATATATTAAAAATAGATTAATTAGGAAAATAATTTATATATGATAGAAACAGGTTTTTATTAAAGTACTTATAATATAATTCTGGTAAAAATTTTATGCATTTTTTTAGTAATTACTGGACGGTTTATTAACTTCTCTCTAGTAACTGAAAGGTAAAACTATGAAAAGATGTATAAAACCTGACTCGAGATACTGAGTAAGAACAGGACAATAAATAGATTACACAGTATTTTAACTAATAATAATCTATTAATACTAGACAATAACCTGACAGAAAGGTGCATCGAAATTGCACATATTTTTATCAAGAAAATTGCTTTTGCCATGAATAATACTCTTCAAGTTTTTGTCCATTTTCTACGCAGTATTATTACAATTAATGAGACATACAGTAATATTATATAGTAAGATGAGTGTTTAGGAAAA